AGATATTTCAGTGAGAAGTTGCAGTACTGAAGCTCATTTTTCGATTTCTTTAGGGAAATTTCACTCGCGAATGATCGACATATTCCCATTTCTATGATTGTTGAGATGAAATACTTTATTCTTACTAGAATTGTCGCATTGCAATTTACAAATGAATAATTTAGATATGGAATTGGATGTGTCATATGAATGTTTAAAGTTATTGACAGTAGATTGAAGATTTTCTCATAGAATGAGTGAAATTTATACTCAAATAGCATAGCAGTGATATCGATTCACACATATGTTTAATCAAGAATGTTTTGGTATTAGGCCAATTATGTTAATTGTGTTCATATGTTTCAGAGGTAATGAAGATAGTGCCTCTGTAAGATTAAGAGCCGAAATTGAACGATTACGTAAAGAGAGCGGAAAAAAGTCAGGTGGTGAAATGGATGATACCAAGGTTGATTTTTTCACTTCATTATCATGATTTCATTGGCTTAGCTAATAGTTGTACTAACGATATCTAAGTTCACGTTTCATTGAATTTGTGATTCTTGCGACTTACCTTCTAGCCTTTCAAAGGAAATAGGTGCAAGAAACAAAATAAAAGTCAACGGAACAGCAGAGCGGTCAGTATTTTCATTCAGGAGGTTGTTTCATTGTCTTAAGCATTGTATTACTAGATAATCATAATCATGGTTATTGCTTTAGAATTTCTATCAGATTATTGGCATGATTAGTACTTTAATTTCAGAGTTCGAGCAGTTCCTCAACGGTTGCATCATCTGAATCGGGTGATTCCGATTCAGAATGTGATAACGGGGATACAAAGTCAGCATCGGTGGTATCAAAAAATATGCGCAGTAGCGATGATTCTAGAAGTAGGAGTAGTGATACTGGCGATGATGACGATTTACAAGGTTCTTTATTTTATATCGCGTGTAGCTGTGAATCAAAAGTAGTAGGTAATGAGGAGTGTGAGGAATGATATCCTTCTGTATTATTATGTATAATTAATTACTTTGGCTTTAACCATGCTTCTCAAGGTATTGATATTATTACTTTTATGTGAGAAATGACTCAATTCTGTGTATACAATTCCTGATCATAGAACCATGAGAAGTTGTTAACCGTGGTTTATGAAATGATGGTCGTTAAGGAAAACTTTCGAATTCAGAATATACATTGGGTCCACTTACTTTCGTTTTTTATTATTACTCTTTCTTCCTGTATTTGTGGACATTTTTCAGAAGCGCTGGAGCAACAGCTACGTTCACAATCAATGCCCTCAATTGAAGAAACAAAACAAAAACAAGTCAAATCTTATCCTCCACCACCGCTTCCGGTTAATAGTAATACGAAGAAATTATTGCATGATGATTTGCAGCTAAGTGAAAGTTCGGATGAAGATTAGCGATTTTTTCGTCATTCGTAGATGTTTTCTATACAGAATTATCGTGGAAAATTTCTGTCATATTTCAAGCTCTAGGATAATTTTTTAAGGAAATGAGAAATCAATAGATTAATTGTCAAAAGCTTAACCAGCGAAAAGATTAAACGAAACATCCGACAGTTGGTATCGAGAACCTGTTTAGAAATTTCTCATCTCCATCTGTTAGATATATATTATTGTTGGTGACTACGTTGTATTTGATAATTGGGCTTTCATGGGAATTCCAATAAAATATGCATATATGAAGGCCTTGGATCAGTGTAATGTTTTATTATTTTCTAAATTAAAGAATTGCAGATCTAATTAATTGTATTCGTTTGTGATATTTTAGTAAATTTTACGAATATTCTTGAATTTTGCCTCCATTCTTTTAGACAGCTGTATAGTACAAAGGTGAATATTTTATATTTGAAATTTCATATATTGTTAAAATAAGCTAGTGGGTAATTTGTTTATTTATTTTGAATATTTGATTATGTCGGATTTATTTGTACATCATTATTCGATGGCGGTGATTGATGGCTGAGCCACTGATTTGATGATTACAAATTCATGTCAAAAAATTTAGCTGCTAGCAAGATCTGATGTACCACAAATACACTACCACGAAGAAACAAGCAGTACGTCCGTTTTCATTAACAATAAGTTATGCTTTAATGATGTGCAAAGGGGATGATAGAGTAATACAAAAGTTGCAGTACAAAATTGTAAAAGATTAGCTATTAATTTATTCCATCAGCAATGTAACCTTAAGCTGAATTAAAATCAATGATCAAACAAATGGAAGAGGTCAATGTAAACTGTACCAAATGACAGGTTAGCCTCAATTATCAGCAAGAAAGGATAATGTGTATTTTGATCTGATATGCTCAAATAATGATAATCATTTCTTTCACTTATCTTAATTTATTCAATTATTTCTTCCCAAACTTGTTAAATGTATTCTTTGCATATCTTTTCAAACATTAATAATTGATCTCATGGATAGTAATTATGAGGTTCTTTCCTTAATGTCTTTTTTTCTTTTTGTAGTATAATGCATTTGATAAAAATTTGTTATTTTTTAATGATTGGTATTTATCATTTGATAGTATCAATTTGACATTGTCAAGCAATTATATCATTTCATCAAAAGCATTTATCAATAATATCATATTAAATATATAAATAATTAAATATATAATTAATTAAATATACAACAAAAAATTTGAATTATATATATATATCAGGCATCTACAAATGTATACAGAC